TTTGTAACCATCGGAACCATCTTTGTAACCCTTATTCATCAATACAATCATATCCATTCTTTCAGTTCTAACAGGATTCAGCCCACGATTGTCTTTTCTCCAATCTAAATCTAACCTAAATTAGGAAGTGAGTTTTATCCCTCACATTTTGGGGTCGTCTGAGGGGACGAGATAATTGAATCCTTTACTCCGTAACTTGAGAATGGATCCATCCAACCAGGAAACGAACCCATCTATCCCTGATCCCTTGATCCAGATCGACGGCTCACCGAACAGAAGAGACATGGACCCTCAAGATCCGGAGCCTCGATCCGCCGATCACCGATCCGAGCAACAGCCTCCGGCTAATGCTCAACCAAACCAGACCACCACTGGAATAATTAACCCGAGACCCTCCAGTAGAAACAACTCTGGGGTTACACCCCCCGAAAACCCTCAGCGTCAACCCGCTCCGAACCATTCGGAAGCTGAGCTATCCGAAATGCGTCAAATGATGGTGCAATTGGTAGAAAGGGCTCAGGATAATGAGCGTACGTTGCAACAGCTAACTGCTCGACAGCAACGGTTCGAAGAGGTGACTAGATCTCTAACCGAGACGACTCAGCCATTCCAACGTCAGGGCTCGGGAGTCACTTTCCGAGATCGACTGACCGAACCCACGTTCCCTCGTGGACGTCTGGATTTTTCCCCTAACAGCACTGCTCAAGATGGGCAAGAATCTGTTCTCCGGACACCTCATGCTGGAACAACCCCAGCATTCAGTCCACCCGTAACAAGCGCTATGGGAAGTAATATAGCAACAAAAAGCTCTGCGCCCAACAGGGTTCCCGAACAGAGCACACATTTACCGCCTCCGCCACCTGTTTTTAGGTCTGGAGAAGGAATATCTTTCCCTCCTAGGGGAAGAGCATCAGCTTCTGCTTACCAGACTGGGAGCGCGATCCCAAATCGAGACAGCCACCAGAAGACGGAACCTGACCCTACAGCTCACCCCCTGGTCGCATCCCTCAAAATGACCCTAGAGCTAGTGAGCTATTTAGCCCACCTAATGCCTGGGAGAACGACCACACTCGACTCCGTCAAGAATCTCCCCATCAGATTCATCATGACGACCCAACCGTCCTTCCTCTAGAGGGACCTGAGGCTATTCGCCGATACATGGAGCAAACTCACGCAGCTCTCCAAAAGTTGAACGCTCAAGTCCACAAAGCAACAAGCTCCGCTCCTGAAATCGAGAGCTTGATTGAGGGGACCCGTGGAACCCCATTCACAAACAAAATCGCTGGCTCTTACATAAGAGATACCCAAAAAATTAGGATCCCCGAATATGATGGGACCTCAGACCCCAAGGCTCATTTGAGAGCCTTCCGATTAGCAATAGTGAAAGCTCACTTCACAAGAGAAGAATGTGAAGCAGGTTATTGCAGAACCTTCGCCGAGAACTTGGTCGGAACAGCTCTCGCGAATGGTTTTCAAGCCTTGAGCCAAACTCAATAGATAACTTCGACCAGCTCACCAACGCCTTCATGAAGCAGTACTCGACCCATATCCTAAAGCAAGCTTCCAAGGCCGGCCTCTGGAAAATCAGACAAGGAATGGGAGACTCGTTACGAGTCTATATCGAGAAATTCAGAGCAGTCAGAACTAAGCTCTCGAATCCCAACGATCAAGTCTCCATCGAAGCCCTTAGAAGAGGCCTCTGGTACAAATCAGAATTCTGGTCCGAGCTAACGCTCAATCCTCCCCCAACTATCGATGATGCCTTTCACAAAGCATCGAGATATATTACCTTGGAAGAGGAGACAGCCGCACTAGATAAAATCCATAAGAAATCCCAAAATCACCCGAAAGGCGAAACCTCGGAAGCAAAAGGATCTTCTAGAAAAGGGAGCTCCCGGAATAATCAGACCCAGGGAGAACATTCTTATGCAGTCGAAGAAGTCCAACAGGAAAAACCTGTGGCCGCGACGAGCAAAACCCCCTTGTCAAAAGGCTACGATGAGAACAAACACTGCTCTTATCATGATCGAAAAGGGCACTCAACTGAGGAGTGTTGGGACCTCAACCAACAGTTGGCAGCTAAATTCGTAGCTGGGGAACTAAAGGACGTGGAACTCAAAAAACCACCACCTTACCAGAAAAGAGGTACCAGATATACCTCTTCGAAGCGCAAAAGATCACATGAGAAGGAGACAGACTCACCTCCGCCAGCTCCCAAGAAAAGAGTTGACATGATTCTTGGGAAATTCCCCCAAGAAAAAAATCTACAAATCGAGGCCCTCTTGAGCAAACCACCACCTCAATCGAGCCCCAGTTCGAGGGTGGATTATATCCTTGGAGGCTCCGATATATGTCAAGACTCCGTTAATTCAATCAAGAGTCACGTACGGAAAGTTGTTTCCAATGCTCAATCTAAGCCTCCCAACCCCGAGTCAAACACCAAGATCTCTTTTTGGGAGAGCGAGACATCAGACCTCGATAGACCTCACGATGATGCTTTAATCGTCACCCTGAACATCGCAGGTTACGAGGTGCCTAAGCTGATGGTAGACACCTGAAGCTCCCTCGACTTTATTTTCTATAACGCCCTAAAAGGGATGGAAATAGACGACTACGAAATTATTGGTCAGAAAGCTAACCTCGTAGGCTTCTCCGGAGAAACGGTTACCTCTTTGGGAACTATCAAGCTCCCAGTCATAGCTGGAGGAATCATGAAAATGACCAACGGCAAGGTAGATAATAGGTACCGCTACCGCCATCTTTCGAAGCACTCTCCTTAATCGTATAAAGACTCATTAGGTCACGAAGACCAATGGCAACCCTCTCTTCCTTAGCTCTAGTAATGAAACAATTTATCACTCGGATCACCGAGGGACAGAGCTGGGAAAGGGCTAACTGGTAGTGGTCAAGGAGGTCCAGTAAGAGATCCGGAAGCGGGAATCTGAGATGACACTTAGTGATGTACTTCTCATGAACGCAGAACCACCCTCCCGGAGCAGTCTCCGGAGTCTCGTCGGGTTTACAGGCTTTGGCTAAATCTTTGTGACCTACGGCCTGAACCATAAAATTAACCACTTCTTGGCTCTTTAACGAGGAAGGCACATGATATCCGAAGAAGACGCTCCCACTCGAGCCATCGTTTTTCTTTGACCTTTTGGAGACTCGCAGGGCTATTGACTCCCTAGCCTTCTTACTCTGTTCACCCTTTTTCATCTTCTCACCGACTTCTTGCTTGACCTTCATAAGTTGAACACCGGAAGGAGAGATTTCAGTTTCTCTGGTACCCTCTTTAGCTTTCGTCATAATAACAAACAAAGAAAGAAGTGGAAAGATGGGAAGGAAACGAAGAGAGATTCGAATTGAAAATCTAAACTTTCGAACTAGAGATTCCTAGAGATCTTAACAGGAACAGACACAGCCGAGAATATAAAAAAAATAAAAGAGATCCAAGTAAATTTAAGAAGAAAGTGAACAGTTACCTGGGAAACCGAATCGAGACGTGGGGTGGTGGTGAAAAGTTGCAGTTAATGACTACAGCTTTATATCACGTCTTACCTCGAAAATCGGGATTAAAACTGTTCAAAACGCATTAATCTCAGCCATCGATCTTACCAAACGAAATCTGAACCATTGATTAAGGTCACGCGTATCTTCGGATATAATAATCATTATCTCGACGAAGAAATAAGAAATCAGGCGGTTAAGCTTTAGCTTCCGAGAAAAGAGGTCTCATCTCGAAAGCTGGGGGCAACTGTTGGGCCCGAATATAGCCCGTTAGCTAAGATAATGGGCTCGAATGATAAAAACTGTTAATAGGACGTTACAAGCCCGTTAATAATCCATTCCGCGAGGAAGGACCGAATAAAAGCCGGAACCTGTTTGCTTAAGGAAAAGACATTAATAAAACAGGTCACGGAAAGGAGCTCCGGACCTCTTTTGCAAATAGCGAACAAGAAGCAGCTCAGGTTGGACGCGTAGGACTTGGTCAAGAGGAGGCTGTTGCAAATCCCTCAACTTACGGAAGCAATCTCGGAGATTTATCAGGAGAAGTTAAACGTGACCTAAGGCTATTTAAAGGAAGGAGAGATGAAGAAGAGAAGATTCATTCGCTCAACCAATTTTCACATATATTATTAGTCACAAATCATTTAGCTATTTCTTTGTAACCATTGGAACCATCTTTGTAACCCTTATTCATCAATACAATCATATCCATTCTTTCAGTTCTAACAGGATTCAGCCCACAATTGTCTTTTCTCCAATCTAAACCTAACCTAAATTAGGAAGTGAGTTTTATCCCTCACAGCGAGCACCATGGAGATCGGAGACATGCAAGCTTAGAGAAGAGTCACAGTAACAACCGCTCAATCAAAGCTGGCTACGAATCAGAGTACATGCAAATAGATCTAGAACAGAAGAAGTAAAACCAAGGCAAAAGAGAAGCCTTGATATGCAAAAACACAGAGCACAGCTAGATCTGAAGAGAAAACTCGCATGCACCGATTCATCCTTTAACTTGATCCTTCACACCATTAGAAACACAAACTAAAACTTATATAAGAGGAGAAAACCAGCTCCGGTGCTGAGAAAAGCCACCGGAACCGGTCACCGGAAAAGACAAAGTTTGACTAAGAAGAGAGAATTTTAGAGAGAGATACATATATATATATTTTAAATATATATTTAAAATATTAAAAATCTTGTTATCTTATTTTCATGGTTCAACTTTCATTTGTGATTTGTGACATGCATGTGAAGTTTTGAAGGTCACAAATATGACCAAAAAATAATGATCATAACTATATTTGTATAACAATCTACTTACAAAGATTCGACAAATCCCCAATCTTTAACCGTCTAATACTTTTTTCCAACCAAACCCATGAGAGCATATTTTGCATTCCATCCTGGTCGTAGGTGAATTAGTCGGTTTTAGTTCCAGTTATATCCCTCAGAGAAATGAGATAAAAGCCTTTGTCGTTTCCAAAATCTCTCATGTCCTACTTGACCTTTCCCTTCTGCTCTTCAGTACGATTGGAGCCACCAGCATCCAAACTGTCATAACATTTCATCAACACAACTGTCTCCCAATCTTGTCATGTAAGAATGAAAACATACAAACTATCTCTTAGTTATTTGTACTTACTGTATACACAAACCGCAAGCCACTCATTCACAATCCGTACCCAAGTACTCGTCCATCCCACATCAATCGTCCACCTGAACGCAAAAAAAAATTATAAGTTGAAGTTGATGAAGCTCAAGATTTATACTAAGGCTACAAAGTCCTACAAAAGCTCATGTGTGCACAAGATTGTTAACAAATCTTTACTTTTTCATGGGGTGATGAGTGTTCCAACCGATGAGTAGCATAGCAAAGTACATTGCTCCTGTGGCAAATACAAAATGGAAAAATCCATATCCATACGGAATCCCATCTTTCTCTTCTTCATTTTCTTCTTCACCTTGACTATTCACATCTTTCTTGAATTGGAAACACTGAGAGTCTATTCCCGTCGAAAATGTTGCAATTACCATCGCAAGTAAAGCAACCACAAAACTCTGCTCAATATAACATTCAGAATCAGCTTATTACTTTTGGAAGAAACTGAAGGAGAAGACTGTTGGAGGTTGAAAGAAGTTTACAATGATTGTAAGCCAATCCGTTCTGCTTGAAGCTGCTGATATTCTGTTGCAGCTTTCTCCCACTGGTTCACTACACAACATTTAGGGAAAACCAATGTACAATTAAAGTTCCTTAAACAAATAAATAAAGATATATAGCTCTACTACTAGTTCAAGCTTCTTATAAGAGCATCTCCAATGTATTACTCCATTTTCTACTCTAAAATGGAGTAACTCCAAAATGCAGTTGAGTTTTACTCCAATGTATTACTCCATTTTCTACTCCAAAAGAATATTTTTAATATTATATTTATTTCAAAATTAGGAATATAACCTTTCATTTATACTATTTGCAAAATAGTCCATTTTAAATTTATAGCATTTCTATTAAATACAATATTAATCACAATTAAATTTTTATTATATAAATAAAACTACTCAACAAAGTTTTAAAAGAATACATTTAATACATTAAAAATTATATTATATAGCTTAAACACAATAATACATCAATTCTAAATTATTCATTAGAATTATAATAATTTTCCTAGAAATGATCAACTAATGCATTTCGAAGTAAAAAATGAGCTTCTTTATCTTTGATTTCTATGAAATGGGAAAGAAACTTTTGGAACCTCACATTATTATTTTCTTCAATTTCAATTTTCCTTGATAGGACTTCTCTTTCAACTTCAATTGGCACCTCGAGATCACAATCATCTTCTATTATCATGTTATGTAAGAATTTAATAATATTTTATCAGATTATTTTAATAATTTTAATGGATCCAAAAATGATTTATCGGATTATTAAACAATTATATTTGTTGTAAGTTTTATTTTATGTTATTTCTTTTGTATGGTGCTTATCTTCCATTTTTTATATGTATGATCTTTTATGTTTTATATTATATATATTATGTTGTATAAAAGAGTTCATCAGATGGTTATTTATATAATTAAAAATATTAACAGTAAATTTTAAAATATATAGTAAAATAATATTAATATACTTATTTATAATAATATTTTTATTAAAGACGAGGCTATTTATATAATTAAGAAATATTAACAGTAAATTTTCTAATATATAGTAAAATAATATTAATATACTTATCTATAATAATATTTTATTAAAAATGAGGCTATTTATATAATTAAGAAATATAACAGTAAATTTTATAATATATATAGTACTTATTTATAATAATATTTTATTAAAAATGAAACATATATAAATGTGGAGGACTATTTGATAAATAAAAAAGTTCAACTCCATTTTGGAGTAATGAGTTGGTTTACTCCATATTTGGAGTAATCATGTTTGTTACTCCATTTTGGAGTAGGGTTGGAGATGATTTTACTGCAAAATGGAGTTTGGAGTGGGTTTTGGAGTGGGGTTGGAGATGCTCTAAGCGTGTATGCATTTTAGGGTTTAGATGCAGCATTTGAGAGTGGGCCAAGTAATTGAAAGCATTCACATGTTGAGTTTAATAAAATTCTTTTTTTTTTTGAAACACAAGTTTAATATGGTTAAAGCAAGAAAACATAACAGTTGATAAAAAAAAAAACATGAAAACATAACAGTTGATAAAAAAAAAACATGAAAACATAACATACCTTCGAATGGCGCACCAGCAGATAAACACAACATAGAGTCCCATAAGAGCTGGAGTCAAGTATCCAGCATTCACCTGTTGGTGATTGCAATCACAAACAAATTTTAATAACTTAAAACATCCAGAGACTATTACACAACTATAAATAATGATGGATACAAAAGATTTACTTTAGGATGGAGAGCGATGCTTGTCATGAGCTGGATGAGGAACAACGTCCAAGTTATGAAGAATATATTAAGGAGACATGTAGAATCCGGAACGTACCATATGTACATCAAAATCACCCCAACAATACACACTGTATATGAAGTAGTTGCTAGTAGCATCACATGGAGATGGCTACAAACATAATAATAAGCGTGTTTCTTGATTAGTAATAAATTTTTTATTTAAAAAGAAAAAACTAAAACTTTCTGGTAAATTAAAACTTACCATCTTTCTGTGTCTTTTTGGGACTGATAACACTCGTTGAGCCATGTAATGAAACTGATCATACTAATTAGCTGTATCAATAGAAAAACCCTAAAAAGAAAAACAAACAAACAATAAGATTGTGGGGTTTCACATCATTAAGTCAATGTGACAGATCATTCTTACCCTGCACCAAAATGGGCAATCTCTCCTGCAAACAAACCAAAAGAAAAAAAAAGACATTTCTAATTACTCGCCATGCCAACTGAATTAGAGAGAGTACTAGAAAATTAAAATTTCTTATGGACGTCTTACCGTAAAGGCGAATAATTGTAGAAGGAAGCAAGAAAGGAATGATGGTTAAAGCAGGCCACATGATAAGCTTAGCAGACCACCATCCCGAATGCCATTTATCTCTTGATGAATGCGTTTTCGACGTGCCAAGTGTGGATAGAAACATAATGAAATAGAACAACTGAGGATTTTATGGTTAAGAATATAACATTTTCAAAGAAGTGTTGTAAGATGACTTAGAAAAACATATAGATTTTTAAGCCTGATCAAGAAAGGATACAAAACATCCCAAGCTAACCCTTAAGACTCCTTCAGTCCCCAAACAGTTTTCTCCGCCTTCACAGTTCTTAAACTCTGCATTTTTACACAACACAGGAAGTTTATTACTTTAACTTGTATGACAAGGAACCAGATTGAAACCTGATTTAGTGGGCACATACTTGTCACTTCATTTAAGGCATGCCGACCATAATCACGAGCAGCCCAAGCTAGTAGATTTGCGATGAGGAATATGAAACCATATACATATCTAGCCATCCATGGATTGCAACCATTGCGAAACTGATTAAACCATGATCCATTCTTGATTGCTTCATAGCCATCGTTTCTACTGCTTCCACTGTTGCTAGTGCTTGTGCCGGTCTCCATAACTCCTTTAACTTACCAGACTCTCTCCTTTTCATGACATTAGAAGATCCAATCTTTGCATCAAGGATTAGTTTCTTGGAGCGGAAGAAACGACCAAGGACGAAAAAGGACAACAAAGCAGCACAAAACTCGCCTTGTCCCGGTCGAGACTTTTCTTCCTTCAGATTAAAACCTATGAGAACAAACAAATAAGTACTTGCTAAAACAGAGATGGTAACAAGAAGGCAAGAGAATGAAGAAGAACACAAAAACGAGATGATGAACATAAAAATCTAAGACGAGAAGGTGGCGGTAGCAATTTGTAGAATGAAACAGGATAAATTCATTCAAAAAATCACACAGAATCCGTTTCTCAACATTATACCGACCATGGCAATGAATACGTACAGTGCACGTAACCTGTTACCTTATTTTGCTTAAACTATAAAAGCAAGCTTTATAAGCGTCAACGAGAATCCACAATATATGGCTCACTTTAATCCAAAATTGCAACTTTGAACACTAACCATGTGAATTTTAAAGACCAAAAAGACAAAAGAAAAAAAATACCAAAAAGCAAGCTATAATCTGAGGACAGCCTAGAAAAAAAATATAAAAAAGGAAATCTGAGGACAGCCAAGATTTGTAAGACTTGAAACTCGCAAAGTCAAGATTTGGCAGGAACTAATGATAAGTAATATAATCAGAAACTTAACATAATGAAAAAAGGGAAAATGCTTTTTCGATAGTAACCTAAACTTTCCGTAATGCAAAAGGAGAGGCGTGGATAAACAAAGGAGCACCCAAAAATTGTTTGGCAAAGAAACAAAAGGTTAAGAGATCAAAAGATTAAAAAAAAAAAACGAAAAAGGAACAGATCTGATAGAGATGTATGCAATTTGGACTCAGGAAAGAAACGTGTAGATACGGATACAAATGGGCAAACGGATCTTTTCCTCTTACGAATATGAATAGGTGCTAATGCTAAGCAGCAACATCAGATGCTCTTTTTGGGGGTTCACAGGTCCACTTAATGGAGTGGAGAGTCTAGACACACATGCCTCCATTTACAACTAATTGGAGAAAGAGTGCAGTAGATAAACTATCCACCCAAAAAAAAAGATCTAATAAAGAAAAAATTCATCTACAAAAATGGGAATTTAAGATATATAAAAGATTTTTAATCCTAAGTTTCAGACGGGTTAAAACCTCTTACTAAAAGATTAATTTGCAAACTGTCAAACTAATTTTTTTTAAAAAATGTAACAAACATGTAATTTAGAAAGTAAGATCAAATTGGATTATATGTAGTGTGGCTTTTAAAGTAAATATACTTCATTTATTTTTTATAATTTGTTAGAAGTGCTAATTTTGTAAAGTTGAATTATTAAAATTTTACATAATATTTTCATTTATATTTTAGATTTTTAATACTAAAGTCATCTGTTCTTATGATCGATTTTGCAATTAAAACTACATATATAATCACGTTTTTATTTTTGATTTAACTAAACATTTTCTTGTGTTTTATTGACTCCACACAATAGGGGCAGTCAATAGGAAATACTCTTTTTTATGTTCTTCCTGAGTCAACGAAGAAAAAAAGCTGGATTAATAAGCAGCAGAAATTGAGTTGGTAAGGAAAAAACACGTCAAAACAATACTAATACATATCTTAACGACTTAAATTTAGACAAACCAAAAGCAAAACCCGTCATTTAGCTCGTCCTCTAGCCTTACTCTTATGTGTTTGGTTACGTCTGTTAATTAGCAGAAAGCAATAGGAGAAAAAAAAAAAAGAAGAAGTGAAGAACGAGTTGTCCCTCTCTGTCCTTGCCGATCATCTTTTTGAAAATTAACGTTACATAACTTTGGATTCCAATAAAACAAAGGAAAACTAAATTTAATTTCAAACTTCTGGCATCAAAGATTTACACCAAGAACCGAGTTCGAAGCCATTTCTTATTTTCAGAGAAAATAAAGAAATCGTGAAACATAAGTATTATTATGTTTCATAGAAAAAAACAAAAAGACTAACTTGAAACATAAGTTTCTTTATAACGTTCTTGGTAAGCAAGTACACGCATATGTTTATGAATCTCAGAGATCCAAAGAAAATGGATGGAGAAGAACAGAGAAGAGAGAGAAAGAGAACCTGTGATTTACCGTGCGGAATCTCTTGGATCGATGAAGCGAGATCAGATCTGGAGATATGTGGAGAATGTTGCGTTCATGTGCGTGTGTTTCCTCCACAAGCGTTCTTCTAAATGTGAAATGATGCAAGAAAAGAGGTAAAAAAAAAATCTGAGAAAGATAGAAATCTGAAATCGAAAGAGAATGGTTTCAGGATTTTTTTTTTTTCCCTTTAAGATTAAAACAGTACTTATACACAGCTTTGCTTTATCTCTTGTGAAGATCTTTTTTGCTCAGTTTATTAACTTCTCTTGCTTTCCCGCCGTTAGCTTCTTCTTTCCGCTACATTCTCTCATATCTTTATAAGAAACTGAACAAGTAATATTAAACGTAAAATAAAAACAAAACCTATTAAGCAAAAAAAAAAAAACCTGAAATATATATATATATATGTTATAAAAACAAAAACTGATAATAACAGGTACGATTTTCTAGTAAAGTACCATATATATTTTAGAGAAATGTAAGCAAGTAATTCATAACGCCAAAGGTATACTTTGAAAAAAAAAATTATATGCAACGATATGTTTTGTTTAACTTCTTTCTTAGATGCCAAAAAAAAAAATATTATTTGTTCTTTGGTAATGGTTAGGATGATAAAGTCTTAACCAGGTAGTTAATTTCTCGAAAACCATTAAAATATTAGGGCTGGGTTCAGATTTGTTCTTTATGTAATTCTTTATTGTTATATACGCGAATGTGTTTTGTGATATTGTACCTTATATGACGACTTTTTTCTTTGGTTTTATTTTTTCCTAACTAGTTGGTATTCGATAAAAAAAAATTCACTATTGCTATAAACAATTTAATGGGTGTTGTGGAATAAAGAAGGTTGTAACTCTCATTGTATTATTAATCACGTGGTTACACATATATATATACATACAAGAGAATAAAGCATATTCCTTAGGAGATAAGGATTGCTACAAATAAAGGGGATGATTATCCTAATCCTATAATGATTAGGATAACTACAACATATGGATAAATACAAGGGAGGATAATGACTAG